GTGGATCACGAGGTCAAGAGATCGAGACCATCCTGGTCAACATGGTAAAACCCCGTCTCTACTAAAAATACAAAAAATTAGCTGGGCACGTTGGCACGTGCCTGTAATCCCAGCTGCTCAGGAGGCTGAGGCAGGAGAATTGCCTGAACCCGGGAGGCAGAGGTTGCGATGAGCCGAGATCGCGCCATTGCACTCCAGCCTGGGTAACAAGAGCGAAACTCCGTCTCAAAAAAAAAAAAAAAAAAAGAAATTGTGAAGCACAGTGAGGAAGGCAGGTCAAAAGCTGAGACAGGCTGAAAGCTGGGCCTCTTACACTACACAGTTAGCCAAGTTGTGAATGTAAAGAAAAAATTCTTGAACTAAATTGAAAGTGCTACTCCAGGGAACACACAAATGATAAGAAAGGAAAGCAGCCGTATTGCTGATGCAGAGAAAGTCTAACTGGCCTGCATAGATCAAAGCAGACACAACATCCCCTTAAACCAAAGCCTCATCTAGAGCAAGACCCCCAACTCTCTTCAATTCTGTGAATGCTGAGGGTGGTGAGGAAGATGCAGAAGAAAAATCTGAAGCTGGCAGAGAATGAGGTTTAAAGAAAGAAGCTGTCTCCAGAACAGATAAAAGTGCAAGGTGAAGCAGCCATAAGTACTGATGGAGAAGCTTCAGCAAGTTACCCAGAGGATCCAGGTAAGACTATTTGTGAAGGTGGCTGCCCTAAACAACAGATTTTCAGTGTGGATGAAATAACATGACATGATCATGGAAGAAGATGCCATCTAAGACTTTCATAGCTAAAGAACAGTATATACCTGGCTTCAAAGCTTCAAAGAACAGGCTGACTCTCTCGTTAGGGGCCAGTGCAGGAGATGACTTTAAGTTGAAGCCAGTACTCATCTACCGTTCTGAAAATTCTAGGGCCCGTAAGGGTTATGCTAAGTGTGCTCTGTAAATGGAACAACAGAGCCTGGACTACAACACAGCTGTTCATAGCATGCTGTAAGCCCACTGTTGACACCTACTGCTCAGAAAACAAGATTCCTTTCAAAATGCTGCTGCTCATCGACAAAACACCTGGCCACCCAAGAGCTCTGATGAAGATGTGCAAGGAATTTAATGTATTTTCATGCCTGCCAACACAGCATCCATTCCGAGCCCACCGATCACAGAGGAATTTCAACTTTCAAGTCTTATTGTTTAAGAAATATAGTTCCTAAGGCTGTAACTGCCATAGATAGTGATTCCTCTGAAGGATTTGAACAACGTAAACTGGAAACATTCTGGAAAGGATTTGCCATTCTAGATGCCATTCAGAACATTCACGATTCATAGGAGGAGGTCAAAATGCCAACATTGACAAGAGTTTGGAAGAGGTTGATTTCAACCCTTAGGAATGACTTTGAGGATTTTCAAGACTTCAGTGGAGGAAGTCGTTGCAAATGTGGTGGAAATAGCAGGAAAACTAGGATCAGAAGTGGAGCCTGAAGACGGGGCTGAGTCGCTGCAATCTCATGGTGGAACGTGAATGGAGGTGGAGCTGCTTCTGATGGGTGAGCAACAAGTGGTTTCTAGAGAAGGAATCTGCTTCTGGTGAAGGTGCTTTGATCGTTGTTCAAAGGATTTAGAGTATTACGTAAACTTACTTGGTAAAGCAGGCAGGGTTTGAGAGGATTGACTTCAAGTTTTAAAGTTCTACTGTGGGCAAATTGCTATCGAGTAGCATGGCGTGCTGCAGATAGATCTTTTGTAAGAGGAAGAGTCAGTTGATGTGGCCAATTTCAGAGTTGTTTTATTTTAAGGAACTGTCACAGCCACCCCAACTTTCAGCAGCCACCAGCCTCATAAGTCAGCAGCCGTCAACATCACGGCCAGACCCTCCACCAGCTAAAAGATTACAACTTTTTTCTTTCATAATCATCTTAGGCTCAGATGAACATTAGCATTTTTTGGGAAGAAGGTATTTTTAAATTAAGATATGTACTTTTTTAGACATAATGCTACTGTACACTTAGACTACAGTATAGTGAAAACGTAGCTTTTATATGCACTGGAAAACAAAAAAATACGTGTGACTTGCTTTATTGTGATATTCACCTTACTGAGGTGGCCTGAAATCAACCCCACAGTATCTCCATAATATGCGTGTATTATTTTTATATCTCCATTTGAGTCTATAACTGTCTCACAGTTGGCACTCTGGAAAGGGAGGGGATGAGGCTGTAAGGTTTACTGATTCATTTGGGGTCAGGAAGAAAGTAGACTTGAAACTTACATCTTGTAAAAATAATGTTACTCTGTCTTACACCATAACAGCCTTGAGTGGGTAGAAAGCCAGGACACCACTTTCTTCTTAGAGCTCACTGTCATGGGCAAATATGAAGGTTGGTGGGCAGAGTTCTGGGTTCGAATCTCAGCTCTGTTGCCTGTGGCTGTGTGGCAGGAGACAAGTTGCTGGGCATTTTTTCAGAGGAAGGGAAAAATTGGGAAGAAGATACCAATCTCCCTGCATGCTGTGAAGCTCAAGTGATAGTATATATAATACATACATTAGGCTGGCACAGAAGAGTGATTAACAAGCCTTAACCCGCTAAAGAAGGATAAAAAACTGTGGCCCTTGAGCTAAATCTGGCCATGCCCCTTCTTTTCCATATTGCCTGTGTGACATATACCACAACTGCAGGACTAAATACTTGCAAAAGAGAACATATGGCCTGCAAAGCCAAAAAAAATTTGCTAATCCCCACATTTAAAAATGCCTTACCAGGCTGGGTACAGTGGCTCATTCCTATAATCCCGGCACTTTGGGAGGTGAAGGTGGGCAGGTTACATGAGCTCAGGAGTTTGAGACCAGCCTGGACAACATGGAGAAACCCTGTCTCTAAAAAAAAACAAAAAACACAAAAAACCCGCCTTACCAGTTTCTATCTAAATGACCTTTGATGGAGGGGCAAAAGCACTTCAATGGAGGAATGATGAGCTTTTAATAAATGGTGCTGGGGCAATTGGACATCTGTAAACAAAACAACAACAGCAAAAGAACCTCAACCAAAACCTCACACCTTACACAAAAATTAACTCAAAAGGGATCAAATACTTAAATATAAATAATAAACTATAAATCTTTTAGAAAAAAATATTGCCAAGCATGGTTGGCTCATGCCTATAATCCCAGCACTTAGGGAGGCTGAGGTGGGTGGATCACTTGAGGTCAGGAGTTCAAAACCAGCCTGGCCAACATGATGGAAACTCCATCTCTGCTAAAAATACAAAAATCAGCTGGGTGTGGTGGCACAAGCTTGTAATCCTACCTGCTTGGGATGCTGAGACAGAAGACTCGCTTGAACCTGGGAGGTGAAGGTTGCAGGGAGCCAAGATTGTACCACTGCACTCCAGCCTGGAGGACAAAGGAATACTCCATCTCTCTCTCTCTCTGTCTCTACACACACACACACACACACACACACACACACACACACACGCACACACACACGTATTTGTTAAGAGATTGCCAAATTTGATAAGAAATCAAATATATATATATGAGATAAGAAATTGCAAAAATGTTTTCCAGGATGGCCATAGGTACCATTTTATATTCCAATTAGCAATGTATGAGTGATTACAAAAATCAGCCGGGTGTAGTGGCACAAGCTTGTCATCCTACCTACTTGGGAGGCTGAGGCAGAAGACTCGCTTGAACCTGGGAGGTGAAGGTTGCTGTGAGCCAAGATTGTACCATATGTATATACACACATATATGTATCTACATATATACACACACATACACACACACACACACACATATAATATATATATGAGAAACTCTCCAGGATTTAGACCTAGGCAAAGAGTTTTTAGACTTGACACCAAAAGCATGATACACAAAAGGAAAAATTAGCTGGAGTTCATCAAAATTAAAAACTATTGCTTTGCAAAAGACCTTGTTAAGAAGATGACAAGGTAACAATCTATAGAGTGAGAGACAATGTTTGCAAAGCAGGTATCTGCCAAAGGACTAGTACCTAGACCACTTAAAGAAATGTCCACACTCAGCTGAAGACAGGAAGCAATCCAGTTAGAACATGGGAAAGACGTGAACAGATGTTTCACCAAAAGGGATATGTGGATGGTAAGTAAGCACATAAAAAAGCGTTCAGTGTTGTTACGCCAGCATGAAGATCCAAGTTACATTCACAATAAGGTATCACTACACACTTGTCAAAATGGCTAAAATAAATAGTGACAACAAATGCTGACAAGGACATGGAGAAACTGATCACTCATACGTTGCTGATAGAATATAAAATGGTACCTATCACCACACTGGAAAGCATTTTTGCAATTTCTTATCAAATCAAACTTGCAGTTCCCAGGAGAGCCAGCAATGGCACTTGTGGGCATTTATCTCAGAGAAATGAAGACTTCCGTTCACATAAATGTTCATAGCAGCGTTATGCATAACCCCAAACCGGAAACAATCCAGACGTCTTACAAGGGTGAATAGATCAACAAAATGTGGGCACCGTCCCCTCTGTACTTCCCTGGGTATCCCCACTTATGGAAGGGTCCTTCTTGGTTTAAGGGATGTCTCCATCCATTGAAACAGGAGACCGACATGGATGACTTTGCATTTCCAGTTCCATGCAACTATCCCACTGATTCTTCAAAGAAGCAAACCCTCCTTTGCCTTCTATATTTTCTTCACACATGGGAATGGGGGACGTGGAGGGTCTTGCACAGAGGAAGCACATAATATTTCTTGAATACATGCATGAAGAAGTGAAGCTTTTTTAGGAAGCTTCATGAAAATGTAATCCATTATGGACCATTTTCATGATTTATAATCTGAGGTCCTTTCTTATAGCAAAACATGTGGAGAGAGGGTGAAAGAAGAAAAGGAGGGAGGTAGTGAGGGAGGGAGGGAGAAGAAGCAACAGAAAGTGAAAGACAGAAGTACCATTGCTTAAACTTTTCTCTTGTTATCTTTCCTTTTTTGGCAATAG